TACTTAAAATATACTTACTCATTACCTAAATTAAGTATTTTTTAAGTATATTTTAAATATATTTTAATAATATTTCAATAATATTTTAATTATATTTTAAGTATTTTTTTATCTTTTTGAAATTTATTTAGAATTTATTTTATATATAGAAGTAAAAAATATCTAGTTAAGTATATTTTCAATCAAAAAATTTATTTAGATAATCAAAAAATTTCAGGTTTTAAGTAAAATAATTTTGTTTTCTATAAAAAATTATTTTAACTTTTTTTTTTAAAATTGTAATTCCAAAATAATTTTATATGCAAATATAGTCAGAATATAAGTAGTTTTCTTGGTTACTTACTATTTAAGATTTTTCACTAATCTGATACTAGACCTATGAAATTAGGTGAATTTCTCAATTACTTAATACTTGAATAAGGTAGAAATTAAAATGTTTTGCTAACTTTCAAATCTTTATATTAAAATTCTAAGTCAGGTTATAAATTTACAAAAATTTGAAAAAAAAGAATGTTCAAGGAAACAAGTTTACCTATATCAATTAATAAGCAGAACTGTCAATGTGAGAATAAATAGAACAATAAATAAGAAGAAAATCAAAACTTTTAAAGAAAATATTCACTCAAAAGGATAGACAAAAATAAAAAAAAAATTAATTACTTTGAAAATTAAAATATCATGAATAATACTAATGAGTTAACTATATATATTTCCAAAATTGATTTTGGATTTTGAGACATTCTGATTTTTTGAGATTTATGCAGAATCTATTCTATATATGGAAGTAAAAAAAATATTCAGTTATATATATATTCAATCAAAGAATAAATCTGAGTAGACAAAAAATTTTGGATTTTAAGTAAAATAATTTTGTCTTCTATAAAAAACTATTTTGACTTTTTTTTCAAAATTGTAATTTTGGGATCCCAAAATAATTTTGTATGCAAGTATAGAGTTAACTATGGATACTAAATATCAATGAGTTAATTATGAATACAGATATAAATACTGATGAGTTAACTACAGATGCAGATATAAATACTTTTGAAAAAAATGACAATAGATAACAGTGTTGATTTTTTTTTTATTAACTATTTACATTGTTATGCAGTCAAAAAATTTGCAAGAGGATTTCTATAATAAAAGGAAAAAAAATAAAGAAAACCTGACAATTGAAGTTTGATATATACTTTATTACTGATTAGGATTAATTAATGTTTTTTTTTTTATATAGAAATTTTTTATAAAGAACTTTAAGAGACATGCATATGACCATAATTTTGATAGAAAATTTATTTGCTTTCTTGAAAAATAATAATTCACAAAAGAGAAAATATTTGTTTTTAACACCTGAGTTAAGAAAGAAAACTTTAAGTAAAGGAAATATCTTCTTATATATATTTTCCTTTTCCATTTTTTTATAGATATTTTTAATATTAATTTATATATCTGGCCTATAAGAAACTTTAAGTGTAATTATAATTACTTGTAAGTGGAATAAAAATCTATAGTAATACTTAAGGAACTAAATCCTTAAAGTATACCAAACTCCACCTGTTATCAATCACCAATCATCATTAGGGAAATTGGTGAAATGGTAATATTAGTGAATTGGTGAAACTGGTGAAACTGGTGAAACTGGTAAATTGGTGAAATATATTTTACCATTGTTAAACACATTGCATAAAATGTAAAAATTTTTTAACTATTATAATTATTATATAATATAATTATGAATATTGAATCAAGTTTAGAAAGTGAAAACAGTTTTATCAGTTATAATAGTAGTTTATTTTTTACAAGAGAAATATCTTTTATTATCAATATTATAAAAGACATTGTAGAAGAAATTACGGAAGAAAATACAGAAGAAGATTTATCAAATTTTTCTTTATCAACAAAAAATACAAATTTTAAAAAAAGAAAATATTCTGGAGGTAAAAAAACAGGAGAGATTTGAAATTATTTTATAAAAGTTAATGATTTAAGAAGAGAACTTTATGAAGCGTGTAAATTTTGTAATGAGAAATGGTCAAGAGGACATTTAAAAGATATGAAAATTCATTTAGCTAGAAATTGTAAAAGAATATCTGACAAAATAAAAACATTTTGAAGAGAAATAATATTAGAAGAAGCTTCTAATACTAATAATATTCAAACTCGAAAGATAAAACAATTACAAATTACAAAGCATTTTAATAGTATTACTTCTTTACCTATTGTAAAAGCAAATGAACTTGATCAAACAATTCTTAAAGCATGGGTTTGTTGTGGATTTCTATTTTAAACTATTGAAAATCCATTTATTATTGATTGCTGTTCCAGGATATAATTTACCTTCACGTACTACTCTTTCTAATAAATTATTAAATCAAGAAACATTACGAATTGAAAAAAAAAATTGATACCGAATTGGAAAAAAGCAATCATTTAACTATTAGTAAGTAATATTTTATCTATATTAAACATATTATATTTTTTTAACAATATTAATTATTGTTATTAGGTCTTGATGGATGGACCTCTTCAAGACATGATTCTATTTATAATTATATTATAACAACTTCAACAAGAAAGGAATATCTTATAAAACTCAAATCATACAATGTAAAAAAACAAACTGGAACATTTATAGCAGAAGAAGTTTAGCAAAATATTGGAATAGAAAAATTCGTGACAATTGTAACTAATCATGGAGCAAATTTAAGAGTTGCATGACGTATTATACATGAAACAAATCCTTTTATTTTAAATTTAAGATGTATAGCTCATGCAATTAATTTAGTTGCTTCAGATTTTGCAGAGATTGAATCTGTTAAAAAAATTATTTCTAACTGTAGTAGTATTATTGGATTTTTTAATAATTCACATGCTGCACATGGATATTATAAAGAACAATTAAATATAATGAAAATTAAAGGAGGTGAAATTCAATCATATTGTAAAACAAGATGGGGTACATTATATACTACAGCTGATTCTATTACACGATCAAAATCAGTATTTTATTAGATAAAAATATTTAAATTTGTTATCTATATTTATTATTTATTATTTATTTTATTTATTTTATTCTATTTTTTTTTCAGATTTTAAAAAACCATCTAGAAATAATTACAAACAAAAATGTATTTACTTTACTCCAAAGTGAAGAGTTTTATTCAAATTGTAATCAAATAGCACCTATTCTTAAACCAATAAAAGAATTAACAAATGTTCTCGAAGCACGAAATATAAATTTGACCAATTTTTTATTTGATTAATAAAACTCGATGCAAAAATCATGAAAATCCTTAATTATTTTTAAATATAATCATCGTTTGGAAGAATTTATCAATAACACATATATTCTTATATATTGGTTTCATCTTTTATATAGAGGTATTTTTAATTTTTTAAAAATATTTAAAAAAATTTTTAATAGAATTAATAAACTTTTCATTAAATTATAGGTGTCGGATTAAAACAAGTGGCATTAAATAGAATCTATGAAACTGCATCAACAATATGGCATAATTTAGGTTATAGTGAAGAATCATGCCTTAAGCTTTTAATGAAAATGAGATCATGGAAAAGAAATGTGGCACCTTACAATCTACCTTATGATACTTATCGAGAAACTCCAATGAAATGATGGTTAAGTATTAATGTTCAAGAAAATGAAACTGATCAATTATAAGAGTTAGCTTTTAATTGTTTCATTTCAAGCTACCTGCGAGAAAAATTTTTCAACGCTCAAGTGGTTTTTTGGAGAACGGCATACAAATTTAAATTTATCAAAAATAGAATGTATGGCAAAGATTCAATCCTACTATATTCCAATATAGATAAAGAAATATAATTTCATAATAAAGATTTAAGTGAAAGTGAATTGCATAAGAATATTAATGAATCTGTAATCACTTATAATATATTTAAAAAAAATGGAATTTTGGAAAAAGGCGAAGATGAATTAGAAGAGGTATTCGAAAATGAAGATGTATCATCCATTAGCTTAAATATAAATCAATTTGTTGATTTAACATGGCCCACATTTTTATCCACAGGAGATAGTTTATTTGGATTTACTAATAATAGGCAAAATACAAATGAAAGAAATAACAATTTAGGTAATATCTAATTCGATTAGCACAAAGGATATTAAACGAGATCTAAAAATAGTAAAATAGTTAAATAATGATTTTATCATTTTAACATTTATTATTTTTTATATGATAATTAAATATAAATAAATTTATAATAAAAAAATTTAAGAGTTAAATTATGGGTTTATTTTTATTTTCATTTGCACACTGTGTCCATTTTCGATGTTGTTATAATTATTGCACTTAAAATAAATATTATTAGAAGAATAACCAGGCTATATAATATTATTTTCCTTTTTCTTGATTTATTATATATTTAAACCAATAAAATAATTTTTGTATTGACAAGGGTAGTAAAGGGATAATCCCTGGGTTAAAATTAGTATTACGTATTCAATCGTTTATCAATCGTTTATCAATCAATTATCAATAATATTATTAATATTATTAATTAGCAGACATAATTGGTGAATCTGTTTCTCCACATTTCACCAATATCATCAGTTTCACCAATATCATATATTTCACCAATATCACTTATTTCACCAGGTGAATAAATTGATCTTCGAGATGCACCATTGGTGCACCAGTTTCACCAGTTACACCAGTTACACCAGGTGAAATCAATTAGTTCCGTCTGCATCCTTAGATTGAGTATTAGTAATACTCAAGCTCCCATGAGATCACCTAAATTTGGAGATCGTTTAAAGCCAGGTATATCACGAGATTTTCGTTGACTTTGGCCAATCAAAATCGTGAATTTTTGTTAATACAACAACCAAGAAACAGATATCTAAACATATCTTAGTGCATCAATAAAAGTGTCGGGGAGACAATTTCACATTTAAATCCTAGTTCCTCACTCCAACATTAATTAATGAAGGGTATCATGATGTACCATTTAAGTTAGTGTTATAATAAGATAAAATACTAATAATAATAGACTTTAGAACTATTTTACATTGGGCATCAAATTATTTATTTTTTTTTGAATAATAAAAATAAAAAATATATAATATCAAAACATATTTGAATAGAAAAAATAAAATATTTATCATCAAGAATTTCTATGAACAAAAAAAAAAAGACAAATGCAAAAAAAAATTGTATATAGATAGATAGATATATATAAATATATATAATATCTCCAGAAAATATAGCTATGTTTTTTAAAAAAATATTTCTAAGAGAAATTTATTACCAAAAAAATATTGGTAATGAGATAGTAATTACTTAGAAAAAAAAATTTGCAAAAAAAAAAAAAAAAAAAACTAATAAACATGCAAATCCTATTGCAAGATTGATAAATTTATAACCCGATAACTACTAAATCTTGCAATATAATATATAATACAATTTTGAACAATTTCTTATTAATTAGCGAATAAAGAATGAATCTCTAATAGTGAATTTCTTCACATAATTTTACGAAAGATTTATCGTGATGCTGTTACTGTCAACGGGGGAAAATTTTCGGCTGAAGCAACAGGATGAGAAGAATTCCCTAAAGAAGAAGTTGGTAATTCATTATTTGAAGTAGACGAACTAGTTACATTGTGACCTTGATTTTGTTGATTTTGAGGTTTTGTGTAGTGGTTATTGGTTGAATGAACGTGTGAAGGCTTATGTGCAATTCTAAAGTCATCAATGTTCTACACAAATAATAATAATAAAAATAATTATGAAATTATAATAAAAAATAATAATAGTAAAATAATGGAGAGAGATATTTTTATATTAAGAATAAAATTATTCAATCAACCTTATAATTCTCAACATATTGATTCAATTTCTCACAGACTTCAATCTTTCTCGTATTTTTGTCTTTTCTATAATATAAATAAGCCCAAAATTTTTCAAGTCCATAGAGGTATCCATTTTCATAATCATTCAAGGTCAATTCTTGAAAATCATCGAATAGATCTTGTCGATATTTTTTCTCAAGACCATATGAATAAAATCGGAATAAACATTCAAGACCATAACGATAATTTGCGGTAGAATCTTCAACTGCAAGTTTCTTAAACTCAGAATACATGCGTTTGTTGAAATGCTCACGCAAAAAGTGTGACCAAAATCTGAAGAGTGTATTCATTTCCTGAGATTGGCCAACGCCTTGGCGCTTGCGTTCTATTAGAATATAAAAAAAAAAGAAATAATGTTTAGGATGAATAATTAAAGATGAATGTTTGCTCAATCAATGTTTAAATGTTATGATAATAATTTCACATAGGATTCTAACCTTTCAAAGCCTTGGCGTGATATTTGTAATATTTATGCTGAATGAACCCATTTTCACGTAAAAGTTCATGACTCGGATGTTGGAAGGAAGGAAATGAACGCGCCAAGTCAACAGAAGATGACAGTTGCTCAGAACAACTATAAGTCACTCCATTACTATGACTTAAAGGCGAGTTTACTGGTGATGATCCTTCCGGAGGATGGTAAGGTTGATCACTATGGATAATTAAAAATTTTTATAGTTTTTTTTAGTATTCTCGGATTAATTAAAAATGTCAAATGCAATAAATGACAATTGTAATAAATGACAATTGTAATGCAATATTACCCAAGCACCCAACCAACAGCATCTTGTGCAAAATATTGACGAGTATCTGGTACATTTTTATGATTATTTTTAGCATTGGAATTGTGTCCTTGCGGAGCACCTTTAACAGGCCAGAAACGAGTCGATTTTTTCTTGCTGTTAACGTAATATTGACGTGAATTAGTTTTTTTAAAATATAAATTATATGTAAGATTTTAATGAAATAAATTATACCTTTTCTTTTCACTTTCTGTAACAGCTTTATTCGATATATTGGCTCCTGAAAGCCCATCTTTTGATTTGGCTGAAGAAACTATTGATGCAAACTGTTCCTCACTATATACGAATTTATAAAAAATCCATAAGATAACCATTTAAACGAATAATCGGGTACTGTTAAATATGAAAGAGGAATTTACCTAACAATGTCCACTTTTTTCGTACCAATAAAACTACCTGAACATCTAAAAAAAACCCCCCCAAAATGGTTATTAACAGAGAATTTTAATTTTTTTTTTTAAAAAAACAAATATTTTATATGCTAACTTTTGTTTGTGAATATCATGTTCATAATGATAAAGCCCTTCGTTAATCATTTCACCAATCTCGTCTGGAATTTCAGAGGCAAAAAAAAAATTGATTAACATACATAAATTTATCAAGGTAATTTATGACTATTTAAAAATTCACCATTCATGGCCTTTCTCTCATATTGAACATGGCTCTTGTCTTTCTTTTTCTGTGTTACTATCAAAATACTGGCAACAGTGTCATCATCAAATTCATCATCGTCCTCGTCCTCTTCTGAAGTGGCATAATATTTCTGTACTGTATTGTTTCTTGAATCACCAGTCCAATCTTCATCAAATTGAAAAAGTTCATCATCATTATTTGATATAACTTGCTTTGGAATTTCACGAGAAAGTTTATTTGTAGGTGAAGATGATGTGCGTCGTTTTTTAGTTTGTACAATCCAGGGGTTTGAAACGGGTGAACCATTTTCAGATGAACCTTCGGGAATGATTGGCATCTCCCGATTTTCCTTGTCTTCATCCAATGCTATGTAATTTTTATCTGTATGTGTCTCATATTGTCGTGATTGTTCGCTTTGTAGTGACAGCACATTTTGTGGTGATTGTTGTAAATTATTAACAGCGTCAGTTATTGTGGTTGTTGTTTGACCATTATTATTGAAGTCCTCCATAACTTGTTGTTCAACTGCATCGTACTAAAATAAAATAAAAAAAAAATCATAAGATAACGGAATCTTACAAGCGATAATTGATGTTAAATATACATACATGTTTTGGCAATAGCCAGAAATCCCATCCTTCACGTTTCCTGACTTTGTCTTCATTAACCTCAACGATGTAACTATTAAGAAGAGCCTTTCATAAAAAAGTTCAATAATCATTAGATAATAGATAATATGAAAGAATTTAATTAACATGATTAAAATTTTTACCTCACGAACAAGATCCAAGTCCATCGTAAGAGCCTTAACTCTGTTAAATCCGGCTAATAAAGCAATTGGAACATAACCCTCCATATCCATCTATAAACACAAAAAAAGAGTGCATTTTAAAATTAATAATCTTAATAATAAAGGGATTCATTTGACGATTTCAAATGTTTATGATAAAAATCCTTACATTATTCCGTAAATATATATCCTTGCAAAGGTTGTCAAGGCTAAAATAATATTCTCTGAAATATAAAATAGATTTATATCAATTTATATATTTTTTTTATGTCAATAAAACTTAAAAAAAACCATTTTTAAAGGCATACATTTGTTGTAAAATATAAAATTTTAAAATTTCGATATCATAGACTACACCAATTTTTGTACCGTACATATTGTTATATTGTTGAACATAACCAGATGTATAAGGCGCGGATGCAGAACGAGGGGGTCCCCGAGTACCATTATAAGAACGACCTAAATTCAAGCGAAAATAATGAAAATTATACGAAATAAGTATATTACATATTATATTACATATTATATTATATATTATATTATATTATATATTGATGAAAAAATTATAATAGTTGAAAAGCCATACCTCTTCCTCCCCTTCTACCGCCGCGATATGATGACCCTCCATTAGAGTGATGTCCAATATGATTGTCACCAGATTGTGAATAACGTCGGTTATATTCTCTTGTTGGTGTGGGAACACTAGCACGACGTCTATTTGGATTATTGTTATTTGGTACTGTATGAGTCACTGTTTCCGTATTTATAACCTTTTCACTAGATCTGTGTTCCCGCAATCCAGAATGATCTTCACTACGACGTCGAGGTTTTGTCCGATCATGATTAGGCAACGGTGTGTTGTGTGTAATAATCGGGGTATATGGGATCCATTTACCTTTACCTGATATGAGAGGAGATATGAAAAAAAAAAAGCCATGAAAAGACATTAAAGAGAGATAAAAATTTTATAAAAAAAAATTTTATATATAAATTAAGTTATAGTGATACCTCTTTTGGGACTCTCTTCTTTTTTGGTCACATTATCATTAGGTTGTTTCTTTTCAGAAGAATCAACATGTTCCTTTTCTTTATCTTTAATTAAAACTTCTGCTGGTGCAGGCCAACTTGTTTGATCTTCCAAAGGTGGTAATATTGGGGGGGGTTTTGATTTTTTTGATTCTTTCTTTGAGAATCTCTTGTTATCTATAATATATTTTATATAAATAATAAGGATAAAAGTAAATTCTCTTACTTTTCCAAATGATGATATATATCCCATACAAACGCACAGGGAATAGCTTGGAATGCCTTTTATTAACCAAATGAAGGCTAATTCCAACCGGTAGATAGTTGAATGTTTTAACGGATGCCAGATGAACCTTCCCTGTGCGAACGTAGAGACTAACATTTATTTGATTCGGCACATGATAATGTCTTACTTCTAATGACTAATGACTTATTGAGAACCACATAAAATAAAATAAAATTTTCGCAAATGTAATATACAGGAAAAAAGGAGAATATATATCTAAAAGGAATATTAAAAAAAAAAGGGGGACATACCATCCGGTTGTTCCTTTTGATCAATTTCTCGAGTTTCAATCTTTTTTCCATTATTCACAACTTCTTTTTCTTTATCAATACCGTTGGAGGTAACTTCAGTTACCTTTTTAGCATTCATTCTTACTTGCCATACATTTACAGAAGGTATGGGAGCAGGAGGAGGTATAATTTTTTTGGGAGGCTGTTCAATTTCTTGAGAATGTTCCTCAAATTCTTCGTTATTGTTAATTTGTTCTTTTGGTGATTCTGGAACGGGTGATCGAATAGTAATCGACCGATTAATTTCTGTTTCGGTAGTTATTAATTTCGCACTAGTAGGTTTGATCAGATTCACATTGCTGACGCTGGAACCAGCGAGACTGCTATCCGGCTGCGCAATTGTTGGACTGACCATTTTTACAAACTTTCAAAGTTTTGGATCAAAGAAGTAGGGGGAAAATTCTCCAACAATAACAAATGCTTTTTGGGAGGTGAAGAGAAGAACTACTCGGCAATTGCGAACAAATATTAAAGAAAGAACAAAAAGCAGTCCGTTCCGCGTAAAAATATTTGCTTGCCGAAAAAAAAAAATTTCTGTGAGGTCGTTAGCGAGGCAGCAAAACCCCTCTCCAGTGCAACCGTATGCAAGAAAAAAAGTTGTTTGCCTCAGCCAACTACACCCGTTTATACTAACTGCTTACGCAAAAAAATCACTTTTTGGATGCACCCCTTTAGGTTATATAATTGATATGATACTAGAATCAGTGATAGAATACGTGATACGTGGCGAAAAAAAAATTCTGGGATATATTTACTCTGTATTAAAATAAAATAAAAAAAAATTTTTTTTGTCCAATAAAACTTTAATGTTTCATCTTATTATTTGCTGTGCAGCATCAGTTACGATCTGAACGATCTGAAATAAATTTTTATGAGAAATTATTAAATTTATTGTTTGTGTTGCCAGTATAAAAAACTTGTCTCGTGTCAGGCATTGAAATCAGCATTTTTGTTTTTTTTTTTTTTTTAGAGGAATGACGCTCCGGAATAACCCGGTTTCGACTTATTTAATATATAAGTATCACCAACCCAATAATAATTATTATCACAGGATCATCGTGTGTTGACTCTTTTGTAGACGATTACACAGAAAAATAATCCATCTTTCATAATTCATTTAATGAACATATAAAAGAATCAATAAAAAGGGGAAAGCGTTAACCATTATTTTGAATATCTTTTTTAAAATTCCCAATTAAAATTAAGCCTCTAACATCATTCTTTTTAGGTGGCTTTCTTTCCACTGCCCCAATCTTTTTTCGGAAATTCAAAGATTGAAAATCAGGTGACATAGTTATAACTATTGTGATATATTTGTGACTTATTGAGGATCATCTTTTCTAGATTTTATATTTAAGATTAATATATTAATGAATGGACGCCATTGAAAGATGTGAACTGCATGCATTATATGCATCTTTACTCATTTGGATAGAGGAGGCGCAGGAAAAAATTAAGGCAAATAGATGAGGCGTAATAAAATGAAATTAAAGCCATAATAATTTATACTGTAATACTGTGGCATCATTTTTGCTTTAAATCAATGCATAAGCATGCGACAATAAAAAACAAGCTTGGTCCGCAGGAAATTTTATGAATTTGTCAGCATACTTATGTAGAACACTTATGTATTTAGTTGCACAGTGTATGATGACGTAATATACGCGAATCACTTTTTATTAAAGATATCCGTGAAGAAAATAATCCCAAGATTATAATCTAATAATTTAATTTAAATTAGTTTAGTGGTTTCATTTGGATTATTTGGATTATTGGATTGGGACTGAATTTCCCTCCAGTGCTTCAAGTCTCACTATTCATTATAGTAATAAGGATGACAATAAGCAGTAGAAATTTAAATAAGAACAAATAGACTTTTAGTCAGTGGAACTTGTCTAAATGCTATTACAATTCTCAAAGTAAAATTGTTATTAGATTTTTTTTTCATAATTTTCGTAATGAGAAGGTGAATATTTGTTAGTATAGGAAAGATTAAAAGTCTTGGTGTAGGTTTCTTCAATAAAACAAGTATAATAAACATTATTTATAAAAGGGATCAACTTTTTTTTTTCTCATTCTTTATCTAAATTTTATAAAAAGAGAAACTTGTTTCTATTCTGTTTTTTGTGATGACAACACATGTCATAATTAGGTAAAATTTTTGCATTTGCCTATTTGCGGTTTTCAAATTAGTGCGATAATGATTTTATATAATTCAACAAGAACACGTGACTGATCCTCGAATTTCAGCCAATAAAAATTGATATTCTCTCGAATAATCACGTGTTATAAATTTATATAGAATTTTATTGGCTAAAATTCGAGGACCAGTCACGTGTTCTTGTTGATAATACCCCCTTTCAATTATATAAACCCTTTTATATTAATAGTAATAAATCCGGGGACCGCAGATAATTGGCAAATTATAAATCTTGGATGCTAAAATTAGAAAAATTTCCTTCAGATGAAGCTTTTATTAAATACAAGATAATTGTAAATAACCATTCGTTACACAAAATATTTTGTTGTGATAAAATACAAAATACAATAATGTATATATAGGAGTGGGGGAGAAGTGTGAAAAGAATATTTTTCATTTTAAATACAATAAATCATATAAATAAATCAAGAACGATGTGTACACTACATTAAGGTTACTTGAATTAAATAAATAAAATAAAATAAAAAGATTTGAAATAAAAAAAATCCTTATTGAAGAATAAATTAAATGTGCCGGTCCAGCGACCAAAATGTTGTGATTATCTCCTATTATTCCCAGAAACCGCCTTGATCAACATTGATATAATTCCCAAAGTAAAGGTTGTAACTAAGGATGCTATCAGATAAAATATATTACCTTTAGTGTCGTTATCTTCATATTTTTGTGTCTCAAATTTTTTTGTCATTACAACTTCTCGTGATGACGAGACCTTAAGGTTCTTCTTGGTATGTCTTGATTTTACCATATTGGCATCTTTTGTCGATTCTCCGGGCGAAAATATTGTCATACCTCGCTTTCGACCGTTTGTTGATTTGGAAATTGGTTTAATTTCTTCGACAGTGTTCATTTCGTTTGGAATCGAATAAAAATCTGATTTTTCGTCGTCTGATACTGTTGTGGTCATACAAGCAGTTGCACTACTGCCTGGTGCTTCATCCGATAAGTTGTCAGACAAACTATTTTCGGTTGTTATTTTACCCAAAGATTCGAATTCATGAAGTTTAATATCTTCGGTCATAGAATCTTTTTGAGTTATTGATAAGTTATTTTGGATCTCACTGACACTATTGACATTATCATATGAAATTGTCAAATTTTCGGTGTGCTTAATTTCAGTTTCCGTATCTTTTATTATAAAGGCCTCATTGTCCATTTTCGTGGGATTATCATGATGAGAATTTTCATCATGATCGGGACTTTTTTCCTCATTTTCATAAGATGTAAGAGAATTTAATGACCTTTCAGGTTCTAGTTTGTTGTCTATCATGTGTGCATGTACCTCGTTTATCTCGTCTATCTCTTGCAATTTTTCTTCCGAAATAGTTTCTTCGTATGTGGAAACGGATAATCCCTTGATTTTAGACCAAGTTGATTTCCCAATTTCATCTTTGGATTGTGTTTCAGTGAAAAAGGCTGGTTCTGGAGAGTTATCGATATCGTGCACTTCATTTTCATTGATAAGTTCAATTTTAGGTTCATGGTCTGAAGATTTATCAGCTTGAGTCCCGTCCACGGATTTCCGTGTGATATCAGTGGTATTATTTTCTGCAATCTGAACTTCCCAATCGTCATATGTGACTTCGGAGATTTCTTCATCTTGAATAGGAATCGATTTATCGACATTTTCTTCCAAACTATCATTAGATTTTTCATGAAATTCTGTAAAGGTTGATTCCTTAATTATATTAATAGAAGATAAATTTTCGCTAACAACATCGTTGGAATTTTCCTCGACAATGGTATCACTATCATCACTGTATGTATCTAATTCGTTTTTCACATTAACAAATTCTATCTTTTGTTCAGTAATATCGTTGTCCAAATTATATAAATTATCATGATTATTTATAACTTCATTTGTTTCAGTCGTCGTTAAAGATTCTTTAGGAATCTCACTAACCTCCAAAATTGATGAATTAATTGATGGACTTTGTTCAAGTGTTTTTTCCAATACTCTAGGTAAGGTTTGTTCTTGAACCGTCTCGTATTCTTTGTGAATTTCTTCGACAGACATCGATAAAATCTCATTTGTATCAGAAATGACATTTCTTTCCTTAAATGTTTCTGTTTCTTTCACGGAATTTTCTTCGAGTTCGCACACAATAGATTCTTTTTCAACAATAATATTTTCAGTCATCAAATCACTTGTAGATACAAATTCCTTTTCAACCTTTTCACTTTTTTCTAAAATAACGTTTGATACCAACATTTCGGGCAAACTTTCGTGTGGTTCGACTTTTTCATCTTTATGAGTGGTATTATCGGTATTATTGGCGTTATCGATTGTGACATTGGAAATCGTAACCGTTAAATCAAGAGCAGGTAGTGTTGTTTCTTCATTGACTTTCTTATCAATTAGATCACCTGATATCTCTTTTGTTAAAGGCACCTCAGTGACTGAAGGCACCTCTGTCTCTGTAATTGATTCGTTTGGTAAGTCCAATTCTAGTGGTGTCTCGGAAATTTCTTCAACCTGGATTTCGCTTGTCGTTTCATTAATGATAATTTTATTAGTATCTATTTCTTCAGAAATAACTATGGTTTTTTCTTCTTTGATTATTTGTGAAGGTTGTAAAGAATTCGTTATTTTATCAGTATGCGGAATATCTGAAGATTCTATTACAGATTCCACCCCGTTATCAACCGATTTTTCTTCAATAGCATTTTCCAAAGTCTTGGTTTGTAAAGATATAGATACATCAGCTTTAAGAGTAGTCTCCTCAAACACGTTGGAAATAACGTTAGTTTTAGATTCTTCAGATAATTCCTGATATTTTTCAATGATTTCTTTGTCTTCCTTAAGCTCTTTTCTTTCTACATATACTTTCTCAATAAACGGTTCCTCGATGATCTCTTGTTTTTCTACTGGTTCTTCGGCTTCAATTGGTATTTCTTCCTTTTCTATTGTTATATTATTAATCTCATCTGCTTCCTCGACAGTTGCTTCTTTGATTGCAGTAATCGATATTTCATTGGGTAATCCTTTTTCGATTTCTTGCTCATAGATAATCTTCTGCTCCTCAATTTCTTGTTCGACAATATTCTGCTCCTCGGTTTCTTGTTCACAGACAATTTTTTGATCCTCGATTTCTTGTTCATAGACAATATTCTGTTCCTCGGTTTCTTGTTCATTAACAATATTCTGCTTCTCGATTTCTTGTTCATGGATGATCTCTTGTTCATTGTGTTCATTGGCAATATTATGCTTCTCGATTTCTTGTTCATGGACGATCTCTTGTTCATTGACATTATTTACAATATTCTGCTCCTCAATTTCTTCTATGGTTTTTTCAACTTCATCCGCTATCGATTGTTGTTCAATCAATTGTTGTTCTGACTTAACATCATGTTGAATTTCATGTTCATCATCTTTTAAATTAAACTCCTCGATTTCTTGCTCATAAATAGTTGGAGATTCTGGTTCCTTAGGCATAGGAGAAGGGGGCGGCGGTGCTTCAACATAAACCTGGTGATTCTCATTATATCCCGTAGAATCGGGAAATTTAGGTCTATCAGGATCCAAAACCCAATTCGTTTCATCAACGACAAATTTGTAATCATAAGTTTTGTTTGGTTGTAAATCAAGTGTAACTTCAAAGTAGGGTGAATTTTCAACTTTTTTCATTTGGATTGGTTGCCATGGTGTATATGGTGAGTCAAAACTTCCGGCCAATTTTACATTTGAACCCCAACTACTCCATTTAAATGTGGTTGGCACATGAGTTTTTGAAATTTCCTCAGAATGGCTGACGTCGGGCATTTTATATATATAACCAATGAGAAAAAACTAATGCTGGTCACTCAAGAAATTGAAATTTATAAAATTTAATTATCTCTTAAAAAAGGAAGATAAAAATTGTTCGTAAAATTGTTCAAATTGTTCAAATTGTTCGTAAAAATTGTTCAAATTGTTCGTAAAATAGTTGGAAATTGGATTAATATAAAGAACGAAGGAATTACGATAACTATCAGGTAAATATTTTAGACTCTTTTTTTTTTCTTTTTTTTTGAGAGAGCTTTGAATGTTTAAAGAGTAAATAAACTTTAGAGAACTCCCTTTTATTTTGTTTTCTCAAAATTTGATCAAGTGATTAAAGACTAACAATATGAAAATTTTTACGATATAAAAAGTATGCCGTTAATTCATTAAAAAGGAAAATTGGCGTATCTAAATTCTCACGTTAACTAAATGCGTCAGTGTAAGAATAAAACTGCAGTTTTTTTTTCTTGAAGACAAGGACAAAAGAAAAGAAAATTATTTTCTTTTTGTAGATGAAATGTAATGAGCTGCGATGTGTTAAAACATTTAAAAAAAAAATAAGAAACAATACAAAATAAAAATATATATAAAAAAATAATACTAATTTTATCAATCGAAATCATTTCCATAAATTTTACAAAAAAAAAATTGTACGTATTTTTTTTATTTCTGGATATTGATTAAAGAGATTAAGTGATTAGGAGCATTACTTTACTTTATCAACCTTATCCAGAATAGAAAGGCACATGAAAATAAATTTTTTTGTGGGGCGTTATCATTTCATTGTTTGCCAATAATTATTTTCACGTTGTTTTCATCCCCGAAACTCGGTCATCGATTTAAAGAATTAAATAATTTTAGATTTTCATTTTAAAAAGATTTAACCCCCCACAGTCCTGTTCAAGAATTGATCAAGTTTTTTTTTTTTTTAATTAAAATCCTTATTCCCCAACAACAAAAACTGTCTAGCACCAAAAAAGACTAAGGCCTCGTTCCTTATTTTAAAAGAAAAAAAGAAGATATAAACAATTGCACTTTATAAATCATATCTCTTTATACACAATTGATCATCTCACCATTACCACAATCTAAACGATAAACGACTTAGGAGATAAACTTTGGATAATGATCTTAACATTAAAGAAATTTATTGGGGAGAATTAAGAACACATGAAAGAAATTTTGTTTTTTATGTTGCCCTTAACGAGAACCACAGGAGAAAAAAATAGTCATTTTAAATTTTTAAATGAAATTATAAAATTCGAAATATAACATTTTTGTATAAGCAATCTTCATTGCTATCATTGCTATTTATGTAATAATGCAACGTGTTCTTTTGGCACAGATTGATGTTTAACACAGAAAAGTGTTTTTATTCTGTGTTCTTTTTGCACACACGGACTATTGAAATTGTTTTTAGAAATATCTATCTATAGATACTATTTTCGCGTTCCTGAAAGGTGAATTTGACTGTATGCTATGTTGATCATGCATAAAGAAATCTAGATATTACTACGCGACAAGATTTCTCAAGGTGATGACTAACTAAAATAAACTGTTCATCAGCAAGCCTTATTGTTATTTATAGATATAATTAAGATTCAGTGTAAAATAAACATATGAAATTAGTTCATTATACCTTATAAGTCAAAATTCATATGCATGGACATTGATAGACAATATGTCAACATAAAATTCATATTATCACAAAAGAAAATCCGGATGGGCTGTAATACAGCATTGCTACTATTTCATCAAAGGAAATGTTCAAAGAAAGATTCCTCATATTCCATTTAATCATTTCTGACCTCAAACCTACCAATATTTTGAACATTTTCACACCAACTAAATGTTTGAAGGTATGGCTTTCATTTTGGATAATATGGATTTCTAATTCTTTTGACCCTGGAGATTAGATGTTGATGGAAGCCTAATAGTATAATTTGTACAAAAAATGAATATTTTGAATTTCGGTATTGCATGATTTATTGTAGTTTATCAATATGTTAAGTTACAATATGTATTATTTTATTTGATAATTATTTTAATAAACTTATTAAATTGAGTTTCTTTTAAAGAACAAAAAAAAACATGAAATCTTTAAAGTTTAATATAAAATTATATTACTTACGCTCTTAACAGTTAATAAATTCATTAAAACTTATATACTTTAACTAAAAATTTACTTTAATCAAAGGAATCCAAGGAGAATTTGATAAATTATTTGATATAATACTTTTGAATACTTAGCAAATATTATATCAAACAACAATATATATAATAATTTCTTGAATAAAATTATTTACACTAAAATTTAACATATTTTAAAAGGATTTTATTATCTGGAGATCATATAGTATGCCTATTATTAGTATATTACAACCCATCTGAAATTTGTTCTCTTTACATTTTCATTTAAGAAATTTTCATTCTATTGATTATTATCATGTCTAAATTTTTTTACAAATGTTAATGTAATAAATGTAAACTATCACACTAAAAAAAATATTATTAATTTATCATATTATTATTATTCACAAGTCAAATACAAAAGAATACACTAGTCAAAAATAAAAAAAAAATGCCGGTGTTACTAGTCAACCTGTCAGGTGAAATAAGGTTCCAACAGGAGGTTTACAACTAGTAAACTTAAGTGATTCAAGTTAGATAACTAATAGTGTAAATTAGTTAAAATCTCTTATACTTGTAAATATCCTGAATTAATAGGATATTATATTTCATTTTTTTGTAAGTTTTCCCTTTGACTTTTTCTTTTTGGAGTCCTTTTTCGATTCAGTTTTAGCTTTGTTGTCAGCCTTAGATTTGTTTTGAAAGGGGATTTCAAAGGTATTTACCTCAGGAATTTTAAAATAATTACCAGTTCAAGACTTTTTAGTATTCTCATCAGAACTGTCCTCATCTTGTTCGTGTTTACTGAGATAAACTTCCAGAAGTTGATTCAATAATCCTTCCTCATCACTATCGAGGTCATTATCATTTGTTACTTCAGCAAATTTAACTGGAGTGTTCTGATAATTATTATT